TCTAAAATATTTTTACCGTCATATTCTCACTAACTGCACTTTTTGACCCAAAAAAGCCTTAATCCTTTTTATTTAAGTCTTTTACTTAATTCAACCTAATAATGCATGACTAATTATTTAATCACATGCAATTTCCTAAATACTTAGGTTAGGGATATTATAACTGTAGTTTTTAATAAAATCACTGTTCTATGTCTTTTAAAAAGACAAACATTAATCCCAAGAAAAAATTATATTTTTTAATAAATAATAAGAACTTTTGACAAAAATATTCACATATTTCAAGTAGAGATTTAAAAGTTCTCATGCACCCCTTATATATTTTCGATACAACGGGAATAGGTACTCCTTTATCAAAAAGGTAGAAGATAAAAACATAGGAGGAAATAATAATAAAGATAAAGATAATATAAATGTATTTACTGAACATATCGAATGATCGCCACATTAGCTTTTTGACCATTGTGCCCCTCATTAATTAAAGAATAACAAATTTTCCCCTCACCTAGAATATTTTATCAATCTGCCCTTATTTGACCGTTGACTGAATGTTTAATCGATTACACCACGGGCGTAATCCATTACACATTAAAAAAAGCTTTAATCATTGACCCTGTTATGTAATCGATTACACTACTATAGTGTAATTGATTACATAACGTCAGGCTATATTTTTAAAACCCCATTTTGGCCGAAGGGGGTTATAAACGGAGGTGTAATCGACTACCCCAAATTCTAAGGCATCAATTCATGATTTTTTCCCCAAAATCTTCAAGAATCGGGTGGTAGGTTCACAAGACAACATCGTTCGCTCATTCCTCTCACTTATTAGTATGTTTTGTTCAATTTTTTTTTTCAAATTTTTTGGGTTTATACCCTAGCTTGATTCTTCAATGGTTTGGTTCGATTGACATGAAATTTTGCTTTTATTCATCGGTATATGGTTATTTAGTTTAGGTTTTGATGAATGTATATATATGGTTTAGGGTTTAGGTTTCATAGGTTTTGTAAAGTTTTTTTTGGTCGAATTTCAAGACTGATTTTTGATTTTTTTTATTATGTTTGTGTTCTGTGTTGTTGATAAATTATATTATTTTTTATTTTTCTTTTGTATTTCCCGTACAGATGAGTGCTATTAATTTGAAGTATAGGCTTATAGTATTTGAAGGCCTCAATACAAGGGTGAATTGTCCAAAAAATCCTATGAAAGACGGCCTTGTCGGTATAAACTCGACGTTCGTCAGAACATTCATATTTATCAAGCTTGAAGAGAGAACCCACATTATATTGCATCATGTATGTCAGCCAATTGGGCAAGAATGTATACGATTTGTCCCAGTCACCAAATAACTTCACAATGCCCTTCATTTTTGCCTTCCAAACCTTCGTGTAGGTTATATTGTATCCATATAGATAATGTATCCTCTCTAACTGGGGACTTTTCCTTTTTCTTCAAAGTGAGCGCGTTTTAACGGCCATTCGAGCGTTGAAACGCGCTACCAGAACGAAAAATGGGTTTGATGAGCGCATCATAACGCTCTGGAGAGCGTTAACACGCGCTACCCGAAATCAGCACAAACATGGTTTAGTAAAAATTGCATAACTTGAGCTACAGTGCTCTAAATTGAGTGAGATTTCGATCTATGTGAAGCTAACACATAGGGATATAACCCTGTAAAAATTCAGAACCATTGGTTGAGTATATCAACACCAGTTTAGAATTGAAGTTGATACTACAACTCCAAAAGTTCAGTTTAAAAGTTATTTTGCGAGTTGAATAACTCCGGTTATCCTTAATCAAATGATTAACATTATCCCTTCCTGGAAATCCCTAGAGGTCTAGTTTCACATACTTAAGTATTAGAGTTAATAGTTATGTTGATGTTAATGTATAAAAATCCCTTAAACATGTCTGTTAAAGAACGTTGTGGTATTAAGTAAGAATTTAACTATTCCGCAACATCACTCGGTTATACTATCACATTGGTTATTTTAAATACGGTATTGCTTAAAAAAGGAATAAAGGAATAAAGTTTTAAAAAGAAAAAGTTTATCTGTATCTTAATTGAACTAATGTAATTGAAATTGCGCTTAATATCATAAAGCAATGATAACAAATCGGTTCTAGAACGGGGTGTGACATTTTCACCATTGAGACCTTCAAAATGCCTTCCATTGTGGTAGATAAGTGTAACATAGGTGTTTGAACTAGAGCTCATCTTTCACACGAATTAGGACTAGAGTTTGGTTTGGGTTCGAATTTTACCCGAAAAAATGGAATATGTAAGGGCATGTTTGGTGCATAGTATAAGATAAGGCTTGATAGTACAAGACGTGATAGTATAAGACCTGATTTTAGAAGACCTGATTAAATTTTAATACTATCCAGCGTTTGGTATGATATTGTATAAGATAATATCTTCCAATATTTTAAAAATTAATATATTAAAAAAAATTATTTTAATATATAAATATTGAAATGATATATTACTTCTTGGAAAATGTACTTGTAATCAATATTAATACATCAACCACTTATCAGGCCTAATCCACCACTCCTAGGCCGGATTAAGTTATACATCATTTTGATGTATAAAGGGATCCTACTGTATAAGCTTATACTATACGATGGTCACACCAAACAACTGAAAATGTCATAACGTATAGTAGAAGCTTATACTATCAGGCCTTATACATCACACCAAACATGCCTTAAGTGTAATGACAATGATTTCACAAGATTAAGGCTTTAGAGATGGTGGGATGAAATAGCTTCTTGATGAGTTGGATTAGATATGAGAAACGAAAGAGTTTTTGGTGTAAAAATAGGTATAAGTGAAATAAGACCAAGACATATAGAGATAGGATTTATGCGCATTATGTAATCGATTACACTACCAACGGTCAAAGTTTTCTTTTGAATATGTGATCAATTACACCCGTGATGAAATTTTATTAAATCTCCAGTTAACAGTCAAACATATACAGATTAATAAAATATATTGAGCGAGGGCTAAATAAATTATTTTTTAATTAATGAGAAGCACAAACTTCTTGCTACATCTATAATACCGAAAATATCTTTTGTACCATAATTCAGGCTGGTCAAACCGTCGCAAATTAAAAATTATTCTTAAGGAATCTAAGACTGCATGCACACTGCCATAACCAGTCTACATCTGGGCGAGGCATCTTTTGATAGGATAGTAAAAGAAAAAAAGTGCAAAGGGAGAAAAAAAATAGTACTGCAGTTCTCTGCTGTGAAAAATAGACATTTTTATTATTATTTATTAAGAAAAAATATCTATCATTTTAAATGACTAAAATGTTATGTCATTTTTAATGAAACTACGTTGTTTTAGTGTGTTTTTACATTCTCTCTCTTTCATTTTCTTTTTATTTCTAATTTTATAAATTAGAGAAAATGATAAAACAAACCAAAACGACGTAGTTTCATTAAAAATGACACAACTTTATGTTATTTAAAATGACAAATACTAAACCATTATTATTATTATTTTTTCATTACAATGAGAACAAATAATTGCAAACTGCTCCCATGATTGTTTAGTGTTTTATTTTTCGCTGTTCCTGTATCAGTTAGGATTATTCTTGTTTGCTATTAAAATTGTCTTAATTCCTAACAGCTTATGTTGTACAAACCCTTTAAATTACTTGAGCTGCGACATAAAGTAAACAAAAATTTAGAAAGAGACATAGGAAAGAGAAAAAATAATGAAAAAGTGAAAAAATGTATTGTAAAATTATTACATTTTCCACATTTATATCGTTTGACAATAATTTATTCAAATATTTTTATTATTAAAACTTGTAGGATTGTTATAAAAAAAAAAACTTGTAGGACTGAAATTAAAAAAAAATTATAACTATTAAACACAATAGCATTTTAATAATATATATCTTTCAACATATGGATTTTTATAATTTATTATAAATAATAAAATTTAATGATATTTTAAAAAATAAACATCAAAAATATAAAATATAGAATAAAAAAAGTGAAACATGAAAAAATCATATTATAAAATAATTCAAATTTTAAAAATCATGATGTGAAATTAGTAATAGAAGAACTTTAAAAAATATATAACTTAAAGGTTGAATATCCAATCAAGGACACATACAATATTGTACTTATTATACTAGACAAATTATAGCTTACTCTATATTTATATAAAAAAGGAAGAAGCAAAGGTGCATAACATCATGTCAAGATACAAAAATAAGTGACCTTGTGGGTAAACATGTTAATGTAAAATGAGAGATGTTGATGAGTGAGTGTCTGCATGGAACAGTTATATATCAAGGGTTTAATGTTTCTCAGGAAATAATTTATTTTATGTATGCATTTTTATTTCTTTTTTATTTATATATATAATATAATATGTGTAGGGTTTATATTTTTTTCTTTGTTATCATCTTATGGATTCATCTTTTTTTTTTTTTTGGAGTTACCCAACCCTAATTATCTCTTTGAGACGAGTTGGCTACCTCCGGTATCCCCACGAGCTTCGACTCTTTGAGCCGGTTATGGGACTAATACGGAGTGCGGGGGAACAGTGATGGCTAAAGGTTCAGCCCCCTCCCCAAGAATGCATTCAGCGGGAATCGAACACATATCCAACCCCACTAAGGATTCATCTCTTTTATGTATGCGTAGGAGATAAATTTATCTCTTATAATATAAGAAACATTAAAGAAAAAAATATTTGTGTTTTTGCTGTAAATTTTTTTATCCTACTATACTCATATAAAATTGAGTGACTTTTATTAATCTTTTCTCTAATGTGAAATTCACTCACTTTTTATGTGAACAATTTTTTTCTCCAGTAAACATTAAACCCATATATTAATTTTCAAACCGATTCTTCAAAAAAATTTGATTTGTTTTCCTTAGCATTTATCTGCCGACAAAAACTCTAAGGACCATAAAGAGAGCACTGAGACACAGTTGTGACATGTAACACCAAACTTGGCATTGTTTTCTCTTCATTCTTCTCAGTTCCACTCTCTTGCTTTTGGTCATGGATGTTTGCCGGAATATATCACTTTCCGGTGAGTGTAAGCAAGAGCTTTCTACCCTTGATGACCTTTTCTCTGCTCAGAACACAGTAAGTCTATGCTTTATGTTGTTTTGTTCATTCTAAAACTTAATGTTTTTGGCACTGTTCTTGATGAAAAACCACTTGCCCTGCTAATTCTTTCCAAGTTCTACCATATGAATTTTCTTGAATGCCCCACTAGCTCCTTCTTGATTTTACACTGATGAGAAAGAAAGGGGGTCCTTTTTTGTTTTTTATAATATGCTAATACTTTATAAAGCTTGTAACTTTAATGTTTCTTGGTGTATTTAAAGTGTTTCTATATGCTTATTATGCAGCTTTTATGTCTATTGTTCCTACTAAATTTTGCATTTTTTAAATACCAAAAGTGTATGCAGGAAGTGGATTTTGGCATGGAATGGTTGTCAGTGTATGTGGAAGACTGTTTTTCAAGTAGGCCAAGTTGCCTCTTGGCACCAGCTAGTGTTCAAACTACAAGCACAAGCTCTAAACCTTCAAGCACAATGAAAAGACCCCAGCAAAATCAATCTCCTTTGCAAAATTTTGCAGTGCCTGGGAAGGCCAGAAGCAAGAGGAAAAGGCTTTCAGCCCCTAGAACCAAAAGCACTTGGTCACACCATTTAAGCCCAAAAAGTGATAATGGATTGAGTTCAGACCCTCTTTTACTTAAACAGGCTTATTGGTTGGCTGATAGTGAACTCATTGTCCCTAAAAAGAAGGATAAGCATGAAGGGGTAACTAAAGTTGGAGAAGTGGAAAAGGAGGGGATTGAGAAGGAGAGCTTGGGGGATTCTTCTGAGCTTGATGTTAACAATAATGGGCAGCATCAAATTCCAAGGAAATGCACCCATTGTTTGGCTCAGAAGACCCCACAATGGAGGGCAGGACCATTGGGTCCAAAGACACTATGCAATGCATGTGGGGTGAGGTACAAATCTGGTAGGTTGTTGCCAGAGTATAGGCCAGCAAAGAGTCCTACTTTTGTTAGCTACTTGCATTCCAATTCACACAAGAAAGTCATGGAGATGAGAATGGCTGTTCTATGATCCATTGTTCCTAAGAAGTAGTGAAGTGATTACTATATATTTTTAATGTAAATCAAACTGGAATATTAAGGAACAAACTATTTGGAAACAGAGATATCATTAAGGGGGAGGGGAATAGTGCTAATGTAACATCTACATATTTATGGCTTAATATCTAATTTCATTCCATCCTTCCAAGTTCTAATTATTATTTATATTTTTTTATTATATAAACGGCGGTCGTCTTCGAAGAGCCGGCCTGGCTCAGCGATAAGCTTGCTTATCGTGGTGTTCCAGGTTAGGGGTTCGACTCGGCCCCCTGCAAAGTAGGGGTGAGGCTTGACTCAAATTTCCCTTCCCCAGACACTCACGGAGTGGATCTTGAACTGGGTCGGCCTTTTTTTTTTTTTCTATAAACAGCGGTCGTCTTCTTTTAAATTCTTAAAAAAAATTAGTTGTGAATATCATTTTTGTTCTTGTGATTATATAGACAGTTATACTTACAAAAAAAATAATTAAACTTAAGATTTCATCTCCTTTCACAAATTTTTTAGCTCTGTAATTCTGCTATTGCTCAAAGCGCATTTTCAAAAAGTACCAATACATTGTTGAGATTATAGTTAGTAAACAACAAAACAATGAAGCTAAAGAATGTTCAAATATAGCCCGACCATAGTTTTGCTAAATATGTTATTTGTAGATAAAAATCAATTTCCATAGCCAATTATAGTCCAAACACACTATATATAACCAATTATAATCCAAAAATATATAATACTATATATAAGTAGTACAAATATTCTTCATACCAAAATAATGTTAGTCGGAAAAAGCCGTTAATGTCAACTCATGCCTTAATAAATATGTTATAAGGGCATATCCGTCATTGCAAAAGATGAAGACCATATGGGGTTGCCTTCTAGACTTTTCCAATATTTATCCATTTGCATTTGGTGTTTTTGTCCTTTGTAATTTCCTTGCTATAACGTCATGAATTTTGTACCACTTGGTATCATATGCTTCAATAATAAGCATGTGGGGGTGTTATTTATTTATTTGTGGCAGTTGGCATGCACTAGCACTACCTCCACATGCTCGTGACATTGAAATTCACAAGACTTTCAATTCAAAAGAGACATAAGAAGGGAAGGTGGGAAAAAAGAATTCCTCAACTATCATGGCTTACTTTTGCACTCGGTTTATTTCATTATCTTTTTAAGAATGGGTATATGAAACGTATTTTTGAAGAAACTATTGTCCTTATCAGGTTAACAAATGGGGTATAGGTTGGAGAATGAGTATGAAAGCCAAACTAGTTGGAATAAAATGTAAATATCTCAATAATTTTCTATGTGAAATATGTTATTTTTTAAGAATATTTTCTTCTTTTCATTTTACAATTTTAGATTTCATGATTGCCTTAACTGGTGAAGATAAACTTGTAAATTTTATATTTGATTCTTGCACCTAATAATTTTCCATCCGTGAACATTCTGTACATGTAGCATCTCAAAGCATGCCTTTTTTTTTTTTTTTTTTTTTTCAATAAATCACATGTATCCTTTGAAAGAAAATGGCCTTGAAGGCCGATGGCATGTGAGGATGAAAACAAAAATTTTTCAAAGCGGAATCACACATGCTAGTCAAGATATATGCTTTCAGACAGTATGATGTACCTTGTTCGTGATTCAAAACTCCAAGATGATCAGTGTTAGGTTTGAAGGTTCAAACCCTCTAACGTTGATCCACACCACCCTACGTCAAGATGCAAGAACCCTTCTTGAAAAGCCACCAAACGAACACCACAAGGAAGACACTTTAGGCGTCCCAATAGGAGAAGAAGGAGGCAAGGTTAATGTATTTAGATGAGTGAATTTTTCAGCATGAAAAACTCACAAAGTGGCGCATGGGGTAATTTTCGAAAAACCCTAAAGAGAACCTCACAAAAGGAAGCACACTTGGAGATGAGAGAATGATTGAATTGAATCAGATTTTCCTCCCAAAAATTTGACCTATGTAGCGCACAATGGTGGAGGAATAAGTGGAGTTGTTGCAATTCAAATCTAACCAACAACCTCCTATTATATCCTCATGAGACTAAGTCTATACCTAGTCAAAAGTCTGACTTAATAACCATCATATGGCCAGCCATATGGTGCGCCCTTATTCAGCCCAAAAAGAGTCCAAATACATTGAGTAGTTGTATTCAAATTTGAACCAACTCACTCACTTATTCTCTCAACCAACCAAATCTGATTGGAGCTTATTTGGTTGATCATATGACCATCATAAGACCCCAAAATCAGTGCTCCAAATCAGCCTTGGATGATGCCCAAAGATCTCCTCTTGATTCCTGGGATTTGTTCCAACAAGATCTTATCTTATCCTTTTGTTATGAAACAACTCTTCATAGCCAATTCAAATTCGAATTCAAACATTTAAATTCAAACGTTCAAACATTTAAATTCAAAATTCAAATTCAAAATTTAAATTCAAAATTCAAATATTTGATAATTAATTTAACTAATTAAATTAATTAATAATGTTTTGGACCATCCAAGCCCATTACATGTACCATGCGCCCTTTCCCTCTTAGGTGGGCTTCCAAACTTCTTCTTGGGCTAACAACCTTTATTAGGCTCAATACCTTTAATGCTATATTCATCAAGACAATAAGGTGTTAGTGTGTGACCCATTAGATCCAACATAGCCACTGACATAAATGGGTTTGGGCCCAACAAGCCCACAACCCATTTAATGACAACACAGAGCACTAGCAATGCTTTGTTGCCCCAGAGCTAGTTAGGTTAATGACATGATCATCCTATTACATATATTTGGTTATCGTATGTATTTTATTTCGTCTCGGTTACCTTCCCTTTAAACCTAGGGTGAGGATACGTATCAACCCTTGCAATTTAGGGTAAGCTTTAATTCGAAATAGGAAATCTTCAATTTACTGACTCTAAAGGAAGATCATTTTATGATCTCTTTTACTATGCATAGATTCTCGAGTCCTGTAAATGTCATCCCGATTTCTTCGGTTTACAGATAACTTAATCTCTCACAGAGATTTGACGAATTCCTTCAGCTTATCACCCTAGGCCTGTGCTCTTTCCGGACATGCCCAAAAGTATACCTATGAGTCTCCATGTTTCAGGCAGACGAGGTATACAATTAAAGCATGCCTTCCAGAACACAATCTAGGTGAAAACTTCTGGTCTAAGGAAAGACATACCCAAATATTAAGAGACTGCTCTAATGATACTATTTGTGAGATTTCCTCATAGAGTCTCTTTGTGGGTCTGTTCAGTGCGAGCTATACCCTTATAGGTCCACCCACGACTTTAGCTAAAACATCTCCATATCTGTAGCTCATGAGGTCTTTACCTTGTATCCGAATACAAGTAGATAAGTCGTGCTAGTCTTACTCGAGATTACTGATCCCCATTCTCAGTGTCTCTAGACTAGGAACATAAAATTAGGAATAAACATCCGGTATACTTGAATCCTCATGATCGTGATCTCATCACAGATACTCAAGAGATACCTATTCTATTCCAAATGGTTTATCCAGTTACTCATATAATATTAGTAATGTCGAGGCAAAATATGAAACAGGATAAAGAGTGCTTATATTTATTTGTGACAAAATAAAAGGTTCACATATCTCCTAATCTAATCAAAATATTGTCTCTAGGACATCATATACTAACATCCTTCGTAGAAAGTAATCTTGTTCAAGCCGAGAACATCTACATCATTCTTTAACCTCAAAATGGATAACTTCTTTTATGTTTGTGTGTTGCTTAATAACTAGCTAGACCATAAATTGCTTGTTTAAGAAGTTCAAATTATATTTTATATATTTTTTTCGAAGCTCATTTATGTTTTAAATTCAAAACTAAACAAGCCCAGAATCGAAATGAATCTTATTTTAAGGTTGTTTTTAATTTACATTATAAGTGGTGGTAAACTAGGAATAAATGGTAGGTTTACCACAAGTTATCAAAGTGGATAACTTCCTCGCTATAGCGAGGAAATATGATGGATAGCCCTTATTACTGTCTTGCAGTGGTGTTGTTTGCTGACCACAGCTCGCTTAAGCGAGCAACTTAGTTAGCAGAGTAAAATAAGTTAATGAAAAATCTACACCCTTGCGGTTCATGGTATTACCTAGAAAGGGATTGTAGACTAATGTATAATGCTTCCAATGCATGTAACAGTAATGATTTAAGTATTGAAATTATTTAATTACAAAATTAATTTATTATCAAAAAGCAGAAGTAAAGGAAAAAAGTTTATCCGTAATTTTACTTCAATTACTCTGATTGTAACTGCGTTGGCAGCTTACGGGGTGTTACACGCACCATCTGCAAACCTTTTCACCCCTACAAATTTTCTTACCCCTTCTCCCTCTCTCATGTTGTTGCCATTCTTGGCCATCCAAAGTGCAAGAAAAACTCAATCCCTACAGATTTCTTGTCTTGATCCATAATCTCAAGGTAATCAACCTTGATTTCACTCCTCTCTATTTCATTATTATAAGACCCTACTCGTAGAATCCCAATTCGTTTGAGTAAATTAAAATATTGGTGTTGGGGTAATTTCTTAAATTTTGAAAAATTAGGGACAAACTTTAAATTTCTTTAATCTTGAAGTGTTGTAATGAAAATTAGAAATTGGTGACTATTGGTTCAATGAAGTAAGATGGATCACAACTAGATTGTGCCGCAAATTTCATCCCTTTGATGGTTATTGAATGGCTGCATGTAGATGATCTAGGCTTCTTTCTATGGAAAATATTTGCCTTTCACCTATCCTCTTAATAAAATCATACCACCATCAATGGCAGGACAATAAACTACTCTTATTCACAAAAAATTCTTGCATGAGAAAGGAGACTTTAGGACCTTATATTTTATTTTCACCTGTGGTCTCTAACCCTTTAGAATTCCATCACTGTTTTCATCCTTTCTTTATTTTATGATTTGGAAGATTTAAACTCCTTCTATCTCTATTCCTTTCGGCCAATGGCAGACTTGCACTATTTCCCAAGTGGGCAAGTGCAGACACTAACTTGTTAAAGTAACTCTTTTTTTTCTATTATTCTAGAGTTGTATAGTTAACTTAGTTTATATTTACTAAGTTGTTACTTTCTCTTGTCTTAATGGTTGGTATTGTG